TCCTCCCTTGCTTCTGCCATCACGTAAAGGAGCCAGGATGAAGGACCACACAGGGCGTGACAGGCCTTTCCAGCCAGATATGTGAGAACGATGCCACCGTAGACCATCTAGCCCCAGATGACCCACCAGATGGCTACAGAAGAACCTCCCAGTTAAAACACTGAGGCATGAGAAATAATAAATCTTCACTGTTTTAAGCAACTACTTTTGGGGGTGTCTTGTTACACAGCAATGTGTAACTGAAACATGGGTATATTGTGTTAATATGTACTATGCTGATATAAACAAACATGATGGTGAGATATAAATTCATATTCTTTAATATATTTCCTGAACTTAACAACAACAACAAAACATTGCATAAAAAAAAAAACTGCACTGGAGAGTACAGGGCTTTGAATCAAAGAACCTGGGCTGAAGACTTGAACCTGCTCTGTCCCTTGTACCAAAAAACATTTGTGATCTTGCACAAGTCACTTATTCTCTCAACCTCTGTTTTCATATCCATAAATTTCTCATGGAGTCAGAAAGATGACAAAATGAGGGCAGCAAAAGTAAAAAATGCTTTGTAAACAGCAAGGTACACTACAAGTTTAAGCTGTCACTGTTACTGCCACCTAGATGTTACTTAAAGACTTTCCTGTTTTTCCTTCCCTGCAAAGACATCATTTGATCAAAGCATTTGACATAACTTTCTCTTTGTAAGTTTCCTTTTCCATGGAGGCACTGGCATGCACACATGCACACACATACAAAGGGTCGTGCAAAGACCATGAGGTGTCATGAGCCCCATAGACAGTCCCATTTTTCCTTTTTGTCATCACGCAGGGTTCAGGCCCAGTTTAAGGCCCAGAGCCACTAAGTCTCATTCCTTTTCACTGTCTCCTGAAAGGTATGATGAGCTGCCATATACCTCACAACATATTCTAGCACCAACAGAAGAGAAGAGGATGAAAAGAATTAGCGGCGTGCTTGGACACCTAAACCAAGTTGAGGGAAGGAAGATTTTAAAATGATAATTATATCACAAAGAATTATATCTGAACAGGATGAAGTTCAGGAGAAAAGACAGCGAAAGAGGGGACAATGAAGGCTGGGCCATTAAGAAAACGCAGAGACTCAGCAAGGGGAGAAGGACTAACGTATCCTTAGAAAGGGCAGAGGTGGGTGGGAGAACCAGTACTTGACAGGCATGGGAGTGGAAAGAGATATCCATGCACCATAAGGACATCTGGAGGGGAGTATCTGTCCCTTGGAAGAGCTCAGCTCATGTTCCATGAATGAATGAAAAACTGAATGAATAAATGAACTGGGAACAGGCAACTCAAAAGAAAATTCACCAAGTGAGCAAGTACTTACACCCAAACAGGGCAGTCAGGGGCCTTAATGGGTGACACAGTCTCACTGGGAATGGCAATTCCATTTGGATGGTAATGAAGGAGGGAGGGATTTATTCTTTAAGATGAGGGCAAAATGTCCACAAATTCCCTTTTTAGTCTATGCAAGTATAGTAAGTCCTACAAAAAAAGGGGCTGTGACTTCCACCTAAGGTAAACCTCTACTGCTAAATTTTCCAATATTTTACCTTACTCTGTCCTGACTGTAAAGGGCTTTTCCCCCTCAATTCGCCACACAGTCAGTTTTGATCTCAAATGGCTCTAATTTCTTAACAGTGCTCTTTATAAATATGCTGGTAAAGGTCAAGTCATCATAACAGGGCTCTGCATATTCTAAAATGCTCTTCTTTATACCTAATCATGGTCTCAAAGAGAAAACCTTTGACGTGGATCACGCACAAGGATAAAGTTAGGTACTTTTCTTCTCTTAAAATACTACCAGTATTACAACATACTAGGCTCTCTTCTTTTTATTTCCACTTTCACGTGACTGTTAGGGTTTTTATTCTCTTATCAAAGTATGACCTGTCTGTCATCCTCCTTAATAAGTGGGAACCCATTTAATATGCTCAACTAGGTTAAGTCACAGTCTGAGTGTATGCTGCATTACTGATTCATTCATAATTAATGCATACACAGAGGAAAAGAAAGAAGACACAATTCCTGACCTGTAGAAATGTCCTTTAGCTGGTGAGACAAGACTTTACCCATGTTAACAGTTACATAACAATGCAAGGAAGTATATGATTAATTGGCAACATGGACAGGATATGTTGGGAGTACCTAGGGAGTGAGACGGGTATTGGCTGAAGAACAAAGACCTTGTGGATAAAGCAGAATTTAACTGGGAGTCCTGCAGGATGCACAATACTATTGGAAAAGGTAGAATGGAGAGATAAAGACATCTCATGCTTTGAGAGGTGAGCCCAGTGCTTGGAGTGGAGGATTTCTGCAATACTGAGAACTGGCCATAAAGAAGGGGGTTGGGGGGGAAACTGCAAGGGTTTTATAGTGAGACAAGGAGTAGTATTACCACCTAATGGCAGGAAGATAATTTTTCTCTTCCTCAACATATAAGTCATCATGGCCAATAGTGGGCCTGTTCATTCATTCATTCATTCATTCACTCATTCATAAATGTAGGTTACCATTTTATATCAAGTCCTGTTCTATGTACCAGAGGCTATAAAATACTCCCTTCCCTGAGAAGCACAGAGAGTAGGAGAGACTGACCCCAAAAAATCAATGATTTCCATGTATTATGAAAAGGGCTATGATAAAGAGATACATGGGGAGAAAAAAAAAAAAAAGAGATACATGGGAATTAGATTAGAAGGGAGCAGAGGAGAGACACCTAAGTCATCTCTTGGGGCTGAAGACTGAAAAACACTTCAAAGAGAAGGAAATGTAGTCCTGAAAGAGGAGAAGTTTGTAGAAGGGGAAGGCAATTAGGGAAGGGCCCACTGCAAATGCAAAGGCCCAGAGCCCGAGACAGCTTGGGGGATGGAGGGAATCCAGTTCAGGTGGGAACACAGGATGCATGTGGAGAAGGGGCAGCAGGGGAGGAAGGGTCACTGACTATTTAAAATACAGGAAACCAAAGAGCTGTGAGAACTTATCCCTCCCTGCAAATAATTTACCCTGGGATTTTTGGATGGCTTCCTTCTCCATGCTTCCAATTTCTTCATTAGAGCCCTTTAACTGAATATCCTTTGGTTCTGAATGCCAAAGTCAAAATTAGGTCAATACGTAATAATCACCCTAAGGTTTATGTTTACCAGACTCACGGAAGCTTGGGGATAAAAACGGAAGGCTTCTACTTGAACCTCCTTCCCAAGGTAACATTTCTTCTAAGCATTCCTGGAAGGTGGCCATCCAGACGGAAAGAAGTCTCTCCGGCCCCAGGGAGCTCAGTTTATCTCAGGAAGCAGCCCAGTGCATGACTGTACATCATTAGTTGTAAGAAATTTTTTTTCCTTAAATTGAAATTAAGTATGTCTTCCTGTTGCTTCTATCCATTTCGACCCCTGAGAGTGAAAAAAATAGCCTACTGTGCCTCCTACATACAAATGGTGCTACATTACATTTATAACAGTGAATTGAGAAATGTCCCTTTTGCTCTCTAAAGGTCTTGTCAATTGACAACTGGCTTAGTTTTGATTAATTAGGTGGTCTAATATCACGTGCCACCTTCCTTTTCATGAAGACCTTGAAGGGACATCTGTCACTGTTAGTAATACTCCACTTTCCTCCTTTACTGATTAGTAATACCTTATGTTTGCACAGTAGTTCAACCCTTTCCAAACATCTTCACATAAATTATCACAACGTAGTGTTGTAAGAAAGTGCTACGCCACTGTATGTTACCTTCACAAAAATCTCTGCACCTGTTTTATGATGCACTATAAAGGATAGGGCAAGTCCTGTAAAATATGTCTGAGAGAATCCTACAGTTTCTGACACAACAATGGCTAGTAAATGTCAAAGAATTAACATGTTTTAAGAGAAGGAAGAAGAAAAAAGTAGTTATATCAGAACAAACTCTGGATGTCTACTTCAACCATGGACAAATGACTGATACTTTCCTTAACTACAGACCATACACATTCCTACCTTAGCAAACCATTTGTTTAATCACAATTACTCATGCAACAAACACAGATGCTAAGTGCCTGGCACAGGGACTGAGGGAGAGAGAGCTTAGATATGGGGTTAAGGAAGGTACCATGTTAACTCTGGATATTAAATGTAAAGCAAAATTTCAAAGAAATGAGATGGCTTAGTCAAAATCATGACTTAGTGACCTGGGAAAGATGGAGGGGAGGACCTGGTAGGGAAGAGGGGAGGGCACTCAGCAGTGGAAATAGAACGTAAACCCCATGATTCCAAGCACAGTCTTTCCCAAAGCAAAGCACAAAGTACCAGCTCTACGGTGGTGCTATGAAGACTGCCAAGGATGGGGCCTGGGGACCCTTGCATTCTGGAGTAAGTCTGGCCCTGCAGGGTTAAGGGGATGTCCGGCTACTAAGACTAAACTGACAGCAGCTTTTTCCCCATCAAGCCAAAGAGAGATGTGCTTGTTCCTCCAGAAAGCATTATAGGAATTTAAACTCCTTCTTGCCTCGGCAAGTTATAGATCTGGGTAGATGTGTGACTCAAACGTCAAGGATCCCTGGGGAGCAATTCTATAATGCATGCCATGTTTCACCCCATTGGAAACAATGGTTAAACACCTGTAAGATTCACTGCACAGGATAAAATGACATGCCTACTATGGATCGATACCTTGCTGCCTCCCCGGCTCCAGACTGAGGGACACACATGCCTGTTTAGTTTGCAGCCTGCAAAAGTGCACAGGCACCCCAACCTGAGGAACCTCTAAGGATTAGGGACTTAACCTGAGGACAGTTGACTTTGGCCCCAGGAACGATACACGGAACTACCAAGTCATAATAACCGTTCAGTGATTTCTCCATAGAAACAGGAGGATATTAGGGTTCTCTGACCCTTGGGGAAAACAAACGGCATGCCTGAAACTGTGCCTTTTGTGATGCTAACACACAGGACAGAGGAGAAAGTGTAAAAAACGAATGACGGACCGACCTTGTTGGCAGGGTGCAGCAACCATCCGCTGTGAGTCTGACTTGAGTTTCATAGCTGTCCAGGGGGCACACGGCCTGCTGAACGGAG